GTTGTTGAGACTGCACCAGACAGCCAGCTGCTCGACCTCCTGTCTGTAAGCAGACTCGTCACCGTCCTGAATGAGGCCGATGAGTGTGGTGTCGTCTGCAAACTTCAGGAACTTGACAGCGGGGTCTTTAGAGGTGCAGTCGTTGGTGTACAGGGAGAAGAGCAGTGGGGAGAGTGGGTGCTGGATGTGTATAATCAGTACTGGTGCTCCTCGGGGTTGTGTTCTCTCCCCACTGCTCTTCTCCCTGTACCTTCCCCATGATTGTGTAGCCTAGTGAACCAAACTGAGAGAGCATTTTGAAGGCTCAGGAAACCTTTGCAGGTGTTTTGAGTTGATTAGCTGATTGGCACGTCACCATATTCTAATTTGTTGTGAGAGTGAATTGGTGGGTTTTTGTTAAATGTGAGCCAACATCATCACAATTAAAAGAACCAAAGACTTAAACTACTTCAGTCTGTGTGCACTGAATTTATTTAATACATGAGTTTCACAATTTGAGTTGAATTACTGAAATAAATGAACTTTTCCACGACATTCTAACTTATTGAGATGCACCTGTATATGTGTGTGTGTATATGTATGTATATTTAGTATTTATTTGATTTTTTTTCTGCTGTGGCATGCCACAATAGGGAAAATTAATTTGATAAACATAGATATTAGATAAATCTTTTTAGTAAATCTGCAATAAAACGATTTACTGAATAACAGAATCAGTTAAACATTTTTAAAGATCCTTATTGTTTACAATTGACTTCTCCTTAGTTACAAGTGCTACTGAGACTGTTCACATCACACATCTGAAGATTTTATTTGCTACAAATAGCCAAGCAAGTGCAGACATTAATACTTAGTGTACAGAACATAATAATGGTGACAATCAACCAATAGAATTTGAAGATAAAGTCAATGAAAGTCATGAGCAATAAAACAAGCTGCTAAATATGAGAAGAGATCATACTGCATAGAAAAACAAGCAATTTAAATTAAGAAAAAAATGGTGACACGCATTATGCTACAATTATACTTATATACATATATACAGAGAGAGAGAGAGAGAGAGAGAGAGAGAGAAACATAGTAATTCTAAATTACTATATTAAATGGCATACTTTCATGCAGAAAAACAGGATGATTTTGCAGTCCGTTTATAATATTTTCAAGTACTCTAAGATTAGTGTAAGCTGTTACAGTCCCTCCAAAGGAAGGCGAAGATGATGAGAAACATCCACAACAAAAAGTCTTTAATATTGTAATCCACAAAAACTCAGGCAAGGAAATAGGAAACAAACTACTAAACAGAAAGAAGACTTTAAGTAGGGCAGCTGACGAGGGGAAAACAGGTGAAGGCAGTTAACTAATAATGACTAATGAGCAAATTAATCAAAAACCATGGAAACTAATAGACAAAGGGACTCAGGGAAATGTGGAGGCAGAAACAGAACCAAAACAGAACATAACCATGACAGGGACAGCGCGGCATTGTTTTTTTACATTACTTTACATACAACCAGAGTTTATTAGCAGTTAAATTATATATTTTTTGCAGTATTCTGATGTGCACAGGTTAATGTGATGGTTGGTTTAGATGACAGAAAATATATTTAGCTTGGTTTGTACCCTAACACTAACCATAACGCTAACCATAACACTAACCATAACGCTAACTATAACACTAACCATAACACTAACCATAACACCATTGCTGACATAAAAAAGCAACAACAAAGCAAGGAACGTTTGACAGTAAAACCAATTCTTTTGAAGGATCTGCCTCTTCTCTCTCTCCTCAGCTTTCTTCTGTTTCTCCAGTATCTTGGCTCTTTCCTGTTCTTCATGTTCTCTCCTCACACGTATTTCTGTCTCTTCTTTGACTGCGTCTAATGTCATCTGATGTTCTCTCTCTTTCCTCTCCTCCTGTGCTCTCTTCTCCTCCTCTTCTCTCCTCTCCTCCTCCTGTCTCCTCCTCTCAGTCTCCTGCATCAGATCTAGTGTGTAGCAGGAGTTTGTGTTCTCAGACACCAGTCTGTCAATCTTCTCCATGAGTTCAGTCACCTGTCGTCTGTTTGCGGGATCTTTATTGTTCATTCCACAAACCCTCCATCCACATCGGTTAATAAAACCAGACAATACATTATTTCTCCTGATCAGAGATCTTAACTGGCCATTGCTTATATTTTCTGCATGAGTGAAGAGGACTAGAGTAAATCTGAGAGCTTCTGAACCAAACATCTGTTCAAACCGACGCACAACCTTCATCTCCAGCTCAGTGAACGTGCTTAAAGACAGAGTAAGCAGGATGACATGAGCGCCTGGAGAACATAATTCAAGAGCTCTCTTCAGCTCAGAGTCTGAATGAATGTTTCTGTCAGTGGAGAAGAAGTCTGGAGTATCAATCACTGTCACTCTCCTGTTATTAACAGCATCTGTGTGTGGTTTACAGGTTTTGGTCACAGATGAGGAGCTTATTTTCGATTGGAACACACTTTCATTAAAGATGGTGTTTCCTGCGGCGCTTTTCCCTGATCCGGCTTTACCGATCAACAGCAGCCGAAGATGATCTTCTTCATCTCCCTCTCTCCTTACCCCTATCTTCTGTAATCTCTAAAATGCACAAAACAAGGTGTCAATTAAAACACCTATTAATGGACATTTCTGAAACAATTTTTAAAAAATTCAGAGAGTGGAATAAAAAGTTCATTACCAGATGTATCATTTGGAAGGTCTGTTTTGCCTTCTTCAAGACACTTTCATCAAGTGCAAACTACAATCAGAAATACACATGTACAAAATATGTAAACGATATGCATGAATTATCTTCGTATAAATGATTTATTTTGTGTGCAGAGAAATTTGTAACATTTACACTTTTTAAGAGGCTCATGTTGAAGTCACAAGAACTAGTAGGCCAAGTGCAATGCAAAATAATAACAATAATCTTTTATGGACGTGAACAAATATTGTGTCGTTCAAAATTAATATGAAGGCATTACTTTTTACAGGTGTTTTAACTGTATTTTTAATTTTGCTCTGCATTGCGTTGTGTTTTATGTTTAAGTTAATGGATAATGTCCTGGCAGAAAATACCAGCTCGATACACGAAAACTTACCAAAGCACGATACTAGCTGTATTTAGTGAGTGTTAGGAGGATACCTGATGTTTTATACAACTTGCTAAAAACGTTTAGTTTACGTTTTGGCCAAACCTCTAAAGTTTATCGTGCACATTTAAGTCTCATTGTAGCCTACATTGTGCTGACGTGCCCAATACCTATATCTTTACTTAAAAATGTACAGAATTAGTGAGAAGTTAATACGCAAATTCCCAATACAGTATGCATTTGTTAAATATAAGAAAACACAATTCAAATACACTTTGAACTTACTCGAGATAAGATGTCTTCCTTCTTCAACAAAATGTCATGTGTAATTTTACTTTCACTTTTGAATCATGTGCCACTATTTGTCTCCAGAAGGAGGCGCTCTGACTCCATTTTAACACTATTGGGGTCTATAATACACTAATGTGCAGACCCTGGCTGGAAGAACAGTGGACAAAACAGGACTGCCCTACTCCCCCAGATCTCTTCTCTCACTGTGACCTGAAACTAAAAGCCTTTGAGATTGCAGTGAATAATCTAGTGGACAGAGATGGAAACAACCTTTTCCATCTTCAATGTTTTACAATAAATATAAAACACTATTAGTGACACGTTTTTATTGACACGTCCTTAAATTCTATTTAATACAAGTGATTTTTTTAGTTATTACTTTTACTTATTAATTTAAAATTATGTTTTAAGTTAATTCAGTGAATGTAATTCCATTTTCAACTCAAACACACTTTTAGGAGTTTATGCTAACACGACTCATTATGACTGATGCATGATTTTACACATATTATTCAATTAAGAGATTATGGATATGTGCCTGATATGAATCCTCATCATCCTCATCATCAGCTGAGAGATGAATGCAGAACGAGTGTCTGGTAAGAACAGAGACGCTTCTCTTGATTTGCTGTGAATCTGGAGAAACAGAGAGATGTTGTGTGTGAAATGAGAGATGAAGCACGTGAGAAAGCTGAGAATAAAAGTGATTCTTCAGTCAGAAACCGCATCGAGACACAAAAGCAGAAGCACAGATGAAACACTGAGCAAAGGTTTGGAGTGAATCCTGAACAGAATTGAGTGGAAATGAAAGAGATCTGGATTCTGATCAAAGCATTCAAAGCTTCAGAAGAGATGAAAACAGCAGAACTCATCCATTAGAGTCACATTTCACATCTTTGTGTTTCACTTCAATAATCTTTCACACGTTTCTGTCTGTGTTTAGTGCTTTCTCAGAAACTCTTGTGACTTTATTAAATGAATCCAGTAGATAACATCATGTCAGCTGATGAAGTGAGATCTGTGCGTGTGTTTTCATTGCTGTTGCTGGAAAATACTTTCTTATATATTTGTAGATCTTTAACTTTAACCTGTAGAGGACGACACGTGACTGTATTACAGGGGTCAGAGGTCAATACAGCTCTTTATTTATTGTCTCTCATGTCAGAAATCTGACTATCAGCAGATCAACGGTTGACGGTTCTGCTATTATTGTTTGAGTCACCAAACCAGTTCTTTGGATTTCTATCCAGAAACTCTCTGATCCCATCTTGAGTCTGTGAGATGATTCTGCTTCATATCTGATCTCTGATTTCTGTTACTGTCTTGAATCTCAAACTAAAGGCTTTTGATTTTCAAGGGAGAATCTGGTTGTGCCATGTAATGGTCAAAAGATGGTGACAACTGCCAATATGAGGTGTATCTAGACAGTAAATGAGAATTGTTCTGGCATTTTCGATCCTTCCTCACCTGTACATGGCAACATGTCAAATACAGTTATGTCAAATACTATTTTAAGCATAGCATATTTTATAGATATAAAATATATATACAAGATATACATTTTCCCAGGACAGACAACACATTTCACCACTACTGTGTACAAATGAGTTTTGCCTAACTAAATACTTCAACTGTACGGATGAAATAAACCGAACCATTATTATCTCCAGTGCTCGTTGCATAAATGTAGAATATGGTGAAATGAAGGATAATAAATGCATATAAAATAAATGGTATACACGAGTACAAACGTATATAGAGAATAATCTAAAAATGTTAAAATATACAAGAATATAAAAATATACCTAATACATGAAATGAATAAGGCAGTGCAAAATGAAACATATTTTGTAAAACAAAGTCTCTGTGTGATGCAGATGCAGATCAAACGTTCATCGAGTGAAAATGTAGTCAGTAAAGTGCAGCATCAGTGCAGTATTGAGACAGATCCGAGAGAATAGTCTGTGATGATGATGAAGATGATGATGATGATGTTCAGATCTTCAGCCGCTGGTCTCTCAGTGGTGTTGTTTGTTCTTGAGAACATCTGAAGGGTCTTGATGTGAGGATCTCACCTCAGACTGTCAGACTGAATCTTTACAGGCCCGTCTGGATCACATCAGACTAGAAACCACAAACATATACAGACATTCCCATTGTTTTGGATTTATAATTTTTATATGATCGAAATAATGCATCAATTAAACAATCACACATCTGTACATATTTAATAAATCGGTGAGTGCAGAAAGCCAGTGTGATGAATGTGTCTGATTGTATCAGTTTATGACAGGAGTGTAAAGCTGATATCTAGCATAAGTTCCATAATAAACAAATACTTACAGTGTGGATTTATTCTATCCATACTGTTCTGTCTAACAAGTCTCGGTCTGTTTTTCTCTTGAGGTGCACTGGTTTGTGTCTCTATTTTTCTATTAGTTCTCTTGTTTTTGGCTGGTCTGTGGTTTCTGATGCTCCAGCAGTTTTCTCTGTGTGTTTTCCTTTCTACACTCCATTCATATCTGCAATCACACAAATACAGCAGTGTTCAAGTGATATTCCTGATCAATCAGCTGCCTGAACTCAGTGTGATTAGAAGCTGAATTAAAACTACTAAAAGTACTGCATGTGAAGTATTAGGTACAGTTTTCTCTTCTCACCTCATGTTTGATTCATTATTCCCATTGTTTTGGATTTATAATTTTTATATGATCAAAATAATGCATCAATTAAACAATCACACATCTGTACATATTTAATAAATCGGTGAGTGCAGAAAGCCAGTGTGATGAATGTGTCTGATTGTATCAGTTTATGACAGGAGTGTAAAGCCGATATCTAGCATAAGTTCCATAATAAACAAATACTTACAGTGTGGATTTATTCTATCCATACTGTTCTGTCTAACAAGTCTCGGTCTGTTTTTCTCTTGAGGTGCACTGGTTTGTGTCTCTATTTTTCTATTAGTTCTCTTGTTTTTGGCTGGTCTGTGGTTTCTGATGCTCCAGCAGTTTTCTCTGTGTGTTTTCCTTTCTACACTCCATTCATATCTGCAATCACACAAATACAGCAGTGTTCAAGTGATATTCCTGATCAATCAGCTGCCTGAACTCAGTGTGATTAGAAGCTGAATTAAAACTACTAAAAGTACTGCATGTGAAGTATTAGGTACAGTTTTCTCTTCTCACCTCATGTTTGATTCATCAGAATGACACTACAGCTCCGTCTGGATCGAGAGACACTGCAAATGAAGAAAATTTGGTATAAATCTTTAGGTGTACATTTTCAAAGTCTTAGTACTAAACTCCAAACTGATGACACTTGATGTGATTCTTTCAAAACATGATCTCCTTCTTTCATTACAGTTGCATTAAACATCATATCACATGACATCAAATCAGTTCCTGATCAATCAGCTGCCTGAACTCAGTGTGATTAGAAGCTGAATTAAAACTACTAAAAGTACTGCATGTGAAGTATTAGGTACAGTTTTCTCTTCTCACCTCATGTTTGATTCATCAGAATGACACTACAGCTCCGTCTGGATCGAGAGACACTGCAAATGAAGAAAATTTGGTATAAATCTTTAGGTGTACATTTTCAAAGTCTTAGTACTAAACTCCAAACTGATGACACTTGATGTGATTCTTTCAAAACATGATCTCCTTCTTTCATTACAGTTGCATTACACACATTTCCAGTCCACATAAAATACCAGATTAGTGTTATATTTAAGGATGTTCAAGTGATATAACATCATATCACATGACATCAAATCAGTTCCTGATCAATCAGCTGCCTGAACTCAGTGTGATTAGAAGCTGAATTAAAACTACTAAAAGTACTGCATGTGAAGTATTAGGTACAGTTTTCTCTTCTCACCTCATGTTTGATTCATCAGAATGACACTACAGCTCCGTCTGGATCAAGAGACACTGCAAATGAAGAAAATTTGGTATAAATCTTTAGGTGTACATTTTCAAAGTCTTAGTACTAAACTCCAAACTGATGACACTTGATGTGATTCTTTCAAAACATGATCTCCTTCTTTCATTACAGTTGCATTACACACATTTCCAGTCCACATAAAATACCAGATTAGTGTTATATTTAAGGAGAACATTTGATTTAAACACCGTTATCCATATCAGAAATTGCTAACACGTGCTACAGAAACTATCTATAGAATTTATGTCTATAAAAGACTGTGGATGTACCAAATGATTCATTGATTAACTGTTACGATCAGTTGGATTAAATAATACACAAATGCATTAAACTGAATGAGAAGAGATGAAAAAGAAAAGTTTGAGCATTATGAAAA